GAGGGGAGGAGGAGGAGGGGGAGGGGAGGAGGAGGAGGAGGAGGAGGAGGAGGAGGAGGAGGAGGGAGGAGGAGGAGGAGGGAAGGGTGGAGGGGGAGGGGGAGGGGCAGGGGGAGGGGGAGGAAGGGGACCAGTGCAAGCCACATATTCATCAACGATGTTGGAGTAAACCCTCCGTCCAGTCCAAGCTCCCTCTTCTCAGGCCCCTCAGTGGATTCATTGTCATTGAGGGAAGTGCCCCGTTCGGAGACAACCTTTTGAATATCCTCAAGCGCGCCAAAACACCACTCTTGTGATTTAACTTCATGAATCAACCTGATTGCTGCGTCTTGACGATCCTGTCTCCTGCCAGACACCAACCCTGGGATCTAACACAACCATTCAACGTAACTCTTGCGCCATGACAATGCTGACTTGCTCCAACGCACGATGTCTGGTACGCTCGGTGAGAACAGCGAAACCGTGGCACATCTTAAGGCGAACGCGATGTTGAAAAAGAACCGCCCTCGACCCGTGACAACTCCTGCAACGTGTTAGCACGAATGCGTGCGGCGCTGAAGCGAGAGCCACATGTTGAAAACCATCCGCCCTCCACCCGTGAAACTCTTGCCATGTTTTTGGACGAGCGCACGCGGCGCGAAGGCGAGAGCCACATTTTAAAGACGGCCACTTTCAATCCGCGACGCTCGTGCAGTTGTTGAGACGAATGTGCGCTCAGGCGAGTGCCATTTGTTGTACCCCCCCCCGCCCTCAATCCGTGAAACTTCTGCAATTGTTCAAACGACTGTGGTCGGTGCGGAAAAGATCGCCCCACGTTGAAAACCACCAGCTCTCAATCCGTATAGTTTTTACACCTGTTTTAAACGTGCGCGCGGCGCCAAGGCGAGCGCCGCATTTTGGAAGCGACCCGCTCTTCATCTGTGACGTTGTTGCCAAGTTCTCAAGTCTCAGGCGAAACGCCCGGCTCGCCCTTGCTTCTGGCCTCGGGGTGCGACGGGGAGGAGGGATTTATAAGGAAAAGGACATGGAGGAGGAGGAGGACGAGGAGGAGGAGGAGGACGAGGAGGAGGAGAGGGAGGAGGAGGAGGAGGAATAATAATAATAATAGTACGAATAATAAGAAGGATCATAAGCATAATAAGCAGAAAAAACATAATCAGCATAATATACAATAGTATGAAGAAGTAGTAGAATAAGCAGAAGACGAAGACGACTAATAATAATAAGAAGAAGTAGAGGAGGTGGAGGAGGAGGCGGAGAGGGAGGGGGAGGGGGGAGGGGGCGGAGGGGGAGGGGGAGGCGGCGGCAGCGGCGCTCCGGCAGAGTCCAGCGTCGGTTCGGACTGCGGGGAGCGCGGCCGCATTTTGGGGCGTGGGGCACGGGCGGCAGAGCCCGAGGCGCCAGGGGGGAGGAGGAGGTGGGAGGAGGTGCCATGGGGGAGGGGGCAGGGGAGGGAGGAGGGAGGAGGGAGGAGGGAGGCGGCGGGGGAGGGAGGAGGGAGGGAGGAGGGAGGAGGGGGCAGGGGAGGGGGGAGGGAGGAGGGAGGAGGAGGAGGGGGAGGGGGGAGGGGAGGAGGAGGTGGAAGGAGGCGGCAGGGGAGGGAGGAGGGAGGAGGGAGGATGGAGGAGGATGGGGATTCGGGGGCGCGATCCATAGATTCGGCGCGCGGTCGCCAAATCCATGGATCAGGGAGGTGCCCTCCCCAGAAGGCGGCCGGTGCCGCCTCGCTCGGCGGCGGGAAACCGCGACTCTCCATGGAAACGGGACCCGTCGCTAATCCATGCCCCCTTGATCCATGCTTGCGATCTCCTGACGGATGGAGCTGGCGCACGTGGAAGTGGCAGCGCCGATGCAAGAGCGGGAGCGGAGGGAGCGGAGGGGCAATCTTTTGGCATCGCTTTCGACGCTCCGCGCAGATGTCTTGGATCTGCGCTGCAGCCTCCTGGCGGGGCATCTCGCGCCCCCCCCCTGGCGCGCTCCGCGCGCCAGGGACGGGGGTCCGGCGCAAACCTCAGAGCTCCGGGCGGACCGTCGAGAGCGTACTTTTGCAAAGTGTTTCCGTCATCGATGATCCCAGGCCGGGCCAGATGGAGTCCGAGGCTCGCGCCGTGTCGCCAGTGCATCGGCAATGCGGTTCACGGCGTCGACCCGCGGAAGCCTCGACGCATTCCTGAGGACCCGCTTCCTTGGGCCGCTTTGTTGGCGGTCATGTGGGGCCTGGCAGGGGCCCCGGGAGGCCAAGGTTATCGAGTTGACCCAAAAGGGGGTCCAGCGACAAGAGGGGGTGCAATCAGACGTGGTGCAATAGATTTTTGGGGTTGCAACACATTTGGGGCGTGCAGCACGTTCCGGGGCGCAGATGTATGGCTGGATTTCTCTGTGCGCGCAATACATCACCTGCAACGCAGTGCAATACAATTCCCTGGCGCGATACATTTGCCATACACTTGCCTTAAATGTATTGCACCACCCCCTTTCAGCTGGACCCCCTGTTGGGTCACCTGGAGTCTAGCTAAACACAAGCGCCCGCCGTCCTCCCGGCTCTGCGAGGAACTCGCCGAGGCTCTTCGCCCCCAACCCGACGACCACCTGCGCCGTGGTCAGCAGCAGCGGGGTGCTGAGGCCCGCGGGCGTTCCCGCGCGCCGCCCGCGCGTGAGGAGGGCCACGCCTCCTCTGCCTGCCGAAGAGGCGGTGCGTCTTCCACATCCCTGCGGCCGTCCTCCCCCTTCTCCGTGCTCCTTCCTCGGGTCGAAGGAGGGAAATTACACCAGAGAAAACCCCAATCAGTGGATGGTTTTCGCTGAGGAGATCGATCGGGAACCCGGGAGCCGGGGAACCCAGAACCCACTGAAATCGGCCCGGGACCAATAACCGGGAACCCGGGAATTTGGCAACCCAGCTTGCTACAAACATCGGCGGGAAACTTTCGCCAATTCTTTCAACTTGCGCTAGGAAACCTTCAGTGCAAGCGCTGATTGGGGAAAAACGCCATAAAGACGTAAGTCGGGCATGTGTCCCTCCTACCAGGAGGAAGATCCCAGAACGGTAAAATTATCCTGGCGATTGACTCAACCATATGCAGTTGTGGGTACCGCAATTGTGAATATGTTCTTCGGTGGAGCTCCCTATGGGGCCACGAAGCGCTGCACTGGGTGGGGGGGAACGCATGCGGGCGGTAGAACTGGGGCCGTCGGGCGAACTCCCTATGGGGCCACGGAACGCCGTACTGGGTGGGGTGAAAATGCTAAGTTTGGTGTGTGGGACGCATGCGGGCGGTCCCACTGGTGGCTTCGGTGGAGCTCCCTATGGGGCCACGAAACGTATGAGGGGTGTGCCACATTTGGTTTCCAGGACGCATGCGGACGGTCCCACTGGGGGCTTCGGTGGAGCTCCCTATGGGGCCACGAAGCGCTGCACTGGGTGGGGGGGAACGCATGCGGGCGGTAGAACTGGGGCCGTCGGGCGAACTCCCTATGAGGCCACGGGACGCCGTACTGGGTGGGGAGAAAATGCAAAACCTGGTGTGTGGGACGCACGCGGGCGGTCCCAGTGGTTGTTTCGGCGGAGCTCCCTACAGGGCCACGAAGCGACGTACTGGGTGGATGAAAATGCCAAATTGTGTTTCCGAGACGCATGCGGACGGTCCCACTGGGGCGTTCGGTGGAGCTCTCTACGGGGTCACGAAACGCCGTAGTGGGTGGTGTGAAGATTCTAATATTGTGTTTCAGGGACTCATGCGGACAGTCTCAGGGGCTTCGGTGGGGCTCTCTATGGGGCCACGAAGCGTTGTACGGGGGGTTGGGCGTGGGGGGACGCATGCGGACGGTAGCACTGGGACCTTCGGTGGGGCTCCCTATGGGGCCACGAAGCGCTGTACTGGGTGGGGGGGACGCATGCGGACGGTAGCACTGGGACCTTTGGTGGGGATCCCTATGGGGCCACGAAGCGCTGTACTGGGCAAGGGGGAAGCATGCGGACGGTAGCACTGGGACCTTCGGGGCCACGAAGGTACTGGGTGGGGGGGACGCATGCGGCCTACGGTGGGGCCACCTGTACTGGGTGGGGGGGACGCATGCGGGCGGTAGCACTGGGACCTTCGGTGGGGCTGCCTATGGGGCCACGAAACGCTGTACTGGGTGGGGGACGCATGCGGACGGTAGCACTGGGACCTTCGGTGGGGCTCCCTATGGGGCAACGAAGCGCTGTACTTTGTGGGGGGGACGCATGCGGACGGTAGCACTGTGACCTTCGGTGGGGCTCCCTATGCGGCCACCTATCGCTGTACTGGGTGGGGGGGGCGCATGCGGACGGTAGCACTGGGGACCTTCGGTGGGGCTCCCTATGGGGCCACGAAGCGCTGTACTGGGTGGGGGGACGCATGCGGACGGTAGCACTGGGACCTTCGGTGGGGCTCCCTAGGGGGCCACGGAACGCTGTACTGGGTGGGGGGGACGCATGCGGACGGTAGCACTGGGACCTTCGGTGGGGCTCCCTATGGGGCCACGAAACGTGTGGGGGTATGCTGACACGGGTGATGTTGTGGATGATGATGATGATGATGATGATGATGATGATGATGATGATGATGATGATGATGATGATGATGATGATGATGATGATGATGATGATGATGATGATGATGATGATGATGATGATGGAGGGGGGGGGAGGGGGGAGGGGGGAGGAGGAGGAGGAGGAGGAGGAGGAGGAGGAGAACGCGGGGCGACGTCTCTTCAAAACGAGGACCCAACACCACAGGATGGTTGGGGAACAACAGTATGGGGACGATATGTCGACCATTTGTGGAGCATGTGTGGAACATGGTTCATGTGTCTTCCAAAGTCCGCCTGTTAGAGGATACGTCCAGCCTAACCATACACATACTTGTTTTGGCGCTCCGCGCGGAGTTCTTAAATCCGCGTTGGCGCGCTCCTCGTGCTGGGGAGGGGAGTCCAGCGCGGATCCAAGAAATCTGCGCGGAGCGCCAACTGTTTATATGTATACCGTTGATGTTCGATCAGAGGAGGAAAAGGCATTGATACCGCTAGCACCCTTGCCTTGGTTTCGCCTCCTTGAGGCTCTTTGGAGGCCCTCGTCGCCACCTCTGGAGTCGTCTCGGCATCCTGGTCGAAATCCTCTCCCCTCCTCCTGCTGCTTCCCTCAGCTAGTAAATCACGCACGTTTCCGCTCGTCTTGGATTGCACGCATATCCCCGAACAGCGCTCCAGAGCGCTCAGTAGCCGCAAAGAGCGTCCAACAGCGCCCAGTAGCGCCGAATAGTGTTCGAATAGCGCCCAGTAGCGCACAATATCGCCATGCAGGAGTATGTATCATATCGGCTTGGCGGGGGATTGGGTGCGCCAGTAAGTGTCCTGGGGGCGGACCACAGCTTCTGTGAGTTGCTTTCTAGTTTTCCCCTGTCCCTGAGATCTGGGCGCTGCATTTTTGTCACACCGTGCGTTCTCGCTTGGTATTAGGCCATCGAACCATGGCAACATCGCAGACGGGTCCAGCTCGAAGCATGCCGCAGAACGATGAGGTCTAGAGTTGCGGTCATGATTGCGAAGGCCTTACGGCTTGTTGTTTGTCGTTGTAGGGTCGACGCCTTCTAAGAAACAGCCTCGTTCTAAGGAGCCTCCCCCCCTTACCTCCTTGTGCTCTCCGCCTGCGATGGTGGTTTGAAGATAGCTGCGAAAGAGTCTGGGAAAGTCCTGGGCAAGTTAACGTTATGGTGTCTCTGTTTCTTTGCTGGGGATTTCTGACAATATAATTGTTTGTAATAGTAGCGTACACACAGCATGGTTCAATCTCAACGTGGTAATTGCGTGTAAATTTATGTTTATGTTTTTTGTAAGTTGATTTGGATATGACGTGTAAGTGAATCGTTTCCGAATGTTGTCTGTCTTGTTTCGATGTGTGCTTGAATGTTTATTTCAAGTTTGAAATGTCCTCGTAGTTTGTTTGGACTTGTTTTGGTTCCAACTTGAAAATAATGTGTTTTGAACTCTGAGAAGTTCCAGCTTGTGTTGCAGCTCTGTTTGAATTGCACTTGGCACTGTGATGGATTCCATGCTTTTATGGATATGGGCTATTTGACTGTACGTTGTTGTTTTGAGGTGTCATGGCTGCTTCGTCATGCTCAACATGCTGCCTCGAGCTCCATGGTAGTTACAATTCTCTTTGTGGCGGTGGCCGTGCCTGGGGTCGGCCCCTCGCTCTGGTGGAGGGAGTGTCTTGTGCACATACCTCAGGAGGGAAAAACACACAGGCACAATGAATCGTCGATGTCCCAGGAAATATGGGAACACAAGGGAAGGGGGGGGTCCAGAACCTGGCATCGCTGATACGCGTGTATTTTTTCCCCCTGCCAGGATCATCGAGGAGCATCCTGGATTTGAGTCTGGCGTGTCCCTCTACAGGGGGAATGGTCAAGCCTAGTCACAAAACAGTCTGGGGGCGATGTTTGTAGCATGCTGGAGTATTTTGGAGCATGTTCTGATTTTTTATGTTTCGCCCAAAATCCGCCTGTAGGAGGACATGCCCGACCTAATCCTGGATCACCTTGCAAAACACAAGCGCGCGAAATTGACGAACTCACGAGACATGGGCGCCCGAGCGGTGGCAAGGGAGCAGTCTGGATGCGTGCGCTTTTGCTGCTGTCGCCCTGACGGCGTGACGGCGCCGAGGCCAGCGCTCACCTCACCGCGGGCACGCGCAGCCTGCCCATTTTCGTCGAGCGGACAGGAGGGAGAGGAGGCAGAGCAGGGGAGGGGATGCCGGGCTGCGGGAAGGGGAGGAGATGGTGGAGGGGGAGGGGTGGTTGGGGGGACCGAAGGGCAGGAGTGATACTTTATTAGTGAATTTAATTGGTTGTAGGGTTTTAACAAATGGTCGCAGCCACGCAGAGGGCGTGCGTAGCGACGCCCCAAATGCTCGGTCTCCAGTACTTCTACGTGGCGGCGCCCCCGCAGGCACGCAGAGGGCACGCGTGGCGACGGGGGCGTCGCCACGCAGAGCTTCAAAAGACCAAACATTTTGAAAACCAATTGTTTCCACTACTAAAGTACTACGCTGGGGAAGGGGAAACAAAGATGCAGGGGACGCGTGGAGGAGGGGAGGAGCAACAAAGAGTGTGCAAGTCTAGGCCTCCCAGCTGGGGTCCGAGTAGCTGGGATCTGGGATTCATCTCGATGTGGGGCTCGATTTCATCCGTGCCAGCGTCGCCGGTGCATCGCCGACGTAGACGTTGCATCGGCGATGCGGCCCGATCTTCCGACCCCATCTACTCAGACCCCATTCGGGAGGCCTTTCGCAAATGGTGGAGAGGAGGGCCGTCTCGCGCGGGCTGGCCGCAAGGGTCAAGGAGCACGGGCCAGAGATCGATGCGGCCGACCGCATATTCAGGTTCAACCAGGCCGAGACGAAGGAGCCCTCCTCTTCGCCTGTCCCTCCTCTCTAATCCCCGCTTCATCTCCACTCTTCATCCCTCCGCCCTCTTGCATCCCTCCTCAAACTCCTCGTGTTCCTGGATACGACTCTATATATGGATCGGTGTCATGTTCATTCCGTAAGTCTGCATGTTGTGTTTGCACCCGTTGTTTGTTCAAGTTGGCGAAGCTGCACGTCTGCCATATTTACCATGGCGCGGCTGGTCGCAATCCACGAACATGGCCCAGCTTCAACGATACATCAGGCAAACTTGCCATCAGCGCCTGCTCAGGGCTGGGAGGAGTACGTCGGGTACAGGAAGGACGTGACCATCTGGAATGACATCGCCCTCCTCAAGCACGAGGATGCGCATGCCGTAAGGAGAGGAGGAAAGGGGCAGGAGGAGGAGAAGGATGAGCAGGAGGTGGAGGAGGAGGAGGAGAGAGCGTAGAGTGTGGGGTTCAGAGTATGTGCCAGCTGGCGAAGAGGGAGGCCGTGGAACGAAGTTGGATGAACGCGAGGATTAACAAATGGGAGGGAGGACAGACATGATGTCCACAATGGGTGATGCACACAAAACGACGAGGGAGACATAGGAGAGGCACGTGGACGAGGAGGATGCGGCCAAGAAAGGAGGGAGGAGGGTCGTGAGAAGATGGACGAGAGAGGATGGAAGACGAAGGGGGGGATGCAGGATGAGAGGGGGGGTCGAGAAGAGGAGGAGGAGGGACGAGGCACGAGATACTTAGGGGGAGGACGGAGGAGGAAGGAGGGGTGGGAGAGAGGACGATGGAGAGAGGAGCGGGAGGTGGATGCGGAGGAGGAGGGGAGGAGGAGGAGGAGGAGGAGGAGGAGGAGGGTGGGCGAAGGAGGTAGGAGGGAGAAGGAGGTGGGAAGGCGAGGGAGGAGGGGAAAGGTGATGACGAGAAAGTGGGAGCGGCAGGAAGAAGAGGAGAGAGGAAGCGGAGCAGCCAGCAGGACGCCTGGGAGACGCACGCCGGCGGGGTTTACGTGCAGTTCCTCAAGTTCGATGAGGAGCTCGAGAAGGCCACCGCGCTCCGAAAGGCCCGCGCCAGCAACGGGGGAGGGTTGCGCCGAGGGGGTCGAGCATGTGCAGCTTTATTGCTGCAATCCAACCGCACTCACATTGGAGCAATTTCCGACACACTGTATCCGCGACTGGGTTGGTTGAGTCCAGGCGAGTTTGGCTCCGAGAGGGCTCCAGCGGGCTAAAGAGCTTGGACGGATATGTATCCGTGTCAGAGCGTTCCAGAAGGTTCCCAGAGCTTTCCACAACGCTCTGACAAGGCCGCGGCGCTGGGTCCATCCTCCACGGCCGCCAGATCCCAGAGATTCCAGATACATCCTCGCCCGATGTTATCCTCGTCCTGGCCTCATCTGAATATCCCGGCTACAGTCAGGGGGGCGGCCTGACCGACCCCTGGCAAACCAGCCCCTTCCGTGACGTCCCCCTCGGCTTGCCCCGGGGTCTACGCATGTGGCCAGAGGGGAGCTTGAGAGCCGAGGACGACGTCAGGGAAGGGGATGGCTTGCTAGGGTTAAGTCGGGCCTGTCTCCCTACAGGAGGAACATTCACAAATTTCGAAAAATGTCAGGGGACGTTTTTTTGGTTCGGCGAGTATTTTTGAGCATTGCTGGGTATTTGTTAGAGTATTTGTAATTTGTCGCCCAAGATCCGCCTGCAGGGGGACACGCCCGACCTAATGCTAGGGGTCGCGTAGGCCGCGCCCGATGTGGCTAGGCTGTCCCCAAGAGCGCCCGTCTCACCCGGAGGGGGCGGGGCTGGCACACCCCCAGGACGCCCGCCCGAGCTGGGGAGGGATCTCGGAGGGAAGGGGCTCCCGTCCGACTCAAGTGCGACCTGGGTCGATTCGCCTCGGGTTGGCGAGCCGGGTTGGCTCCAGTCGAAGAAGAACAAAAACATAAGGAAAAACATGATCTTTCGAGGTTCCGCGCGGATTTCTTGGATCGGCGCCTGGGCCCCCGTAGCGGCGCCTCCGGCGCCGCCCCTGGCGCGCTCCGCGCGCCAGGGAGGGGTGGTCAGGCGCAGATCCAAGAAATCCGCGCGGAGCGCCAAAAGTGCATGTTTATAGCGTTTCTGTTTTTGTCCCCTCTGGTGGTCGCAAGGAAAGGGGGAAGATGTTCGGCTGGAAAGGCGCATCCCAGGACCACCCTGGGACGACCACACCAGGACTCCCCGTCGCGCGCGCCGACGGGGTCGGCGGACTTCAAGCATTATTCAGCGCAGAGACATCGAAGGGACCTGAGTACACTACACTTCGTGATTCTTGGCATAGTGACTCTAGGCCACCTTGATGGGGTCGGGGTAGATCGGGTCGGAGGATCGCGCCGCATCGCCGATGCATCCCCGATGCGGCTCGATGCGGAGCCCGATTTTCTTCAAGCGGACGTCGCAGGTGCATCGCCGGCGTCGCTGATGCATTGTCGGTGCATTGTCGGTGCATCGCCGATGCATCGCCGATGTATCGCCGATGTGGCGCGATCCTCCGACCCCATTTACTCCGACCCCATCTAGGAGGCCTCTGGTGACGGATATGCACACATTTGGGCCTTTGGCGGCGCCGGGATACGCCAGATGCTCCTGAGGCATTCTTCGGCCCTGTTCGTGCCGTCTTGAGTCTTGAGCCCTCCAAGAGTCCGCGCGGCCGGCTTTGAGGCCCTCGTGGTCCTCGGCTGACCCTCACTCGCTGTTTGAAGCTCCCAGACGCCCCTCCTGGACTCGTATAAAGCCGAAAATGCGTGGTGTTCCAACATGTATGCGGGACCTTCATTGTTTGTATTTGTTTCCCTTTGTAGTGTCCTTTGGCGCCCTCTTGGGCCGTCTTGGCGTTCTCTGTGCTCGTCTTGGAATCATATTGGGGCCGTCTGGGTCCGTCGAGCCGTCGTGGGGCGCTCTTGGGCCCCTCCTGGGCTGCTTTGGTCCGTCTTGGGCCGTCTTGGAGCGCCCCGGACTCGTCCCGGTCGCAAAATGATGTGTACCTGACCATCGCCGCCATAATCAGGAGGGGAAAAAACACACAGACACAATTAATCGTCGATTCCCCAGAAAATGTTGGAAACTATGGGAAGTGGGGGGAAGACAAAAACCCAGCAAATATAGGGAAATATGGTGAATCTGGTTATCTGTGTCTATTTATTTGTGTGTCCCAGGGCCCCTTCACATTAATGAACAACCACCCGGACCCGACAATTGGCGTGAGGTGTGCGCGCGCGCTCGTGTGCGCATGAGTGTGCGCTCGCCTTGAATCGGGCGCGTCCCTCTACAGGAGGAATATCCAGATACAGTACAAAACAGTACGGGGGCGATTTTTTGATTCCTTCTGATGCTTGTGGCTATTGTTTGGGCATGCTTCATTTGTCGTCCGAAATCCGCCTGTAGGGGGGGCGTGCCCGACCTGATGCTCGCCTCCTCTTCCCTCCAGGCCTCCCAACTGGGTCCAGAGATTCGGGGGGGCAGAGGATCGCGCCGCATTGTGGCCGCAGCGGCACCCTCCGACCCCACCTTGTCTGGCCCCAGTTGGAAGGCCCCCATTCCCAGGACGACGACGATGGCGTGACATTCCTCATCGTCTGGCCCAACAGTCTGGAGTCTGCGGTCAGGGAGTTCTTCGCAACTACATATCCGGAGGAGTGGTTCCCCAAGGCCACTGTGGCGCGCGTGCTCGCGCCCGAGAGCGCCGCTCCCGTTCTTCTTCTCTTTGACACTGTCCATCCCTCATCATTCTTCCTTGCTCATTCGTCCTGCTCCTCACCATCCTAACTTCTCCGCCCCTCCTTGGTCCTCGTTCCTCCTGTCACACTCTTCCCCACACCCGACTCCTCGTCCGTTCATGGCCCCAGAAGGGGGAGGGTAGTGGAGGGAGGACGAGGAGGAGTTGGAGGAGGTGGAGGAGGGAAGAGGCGGATTGGGCGAGGGGAGGAGGCTTTGTGATTGGAGTGACATCATCCCGCTCCAGCTCTGGCGACCGCATCCCTGCTGCTTCGGGCTCGCTGCACCCACTGCCTGGCTTTCCAGCCCTGGCCGCTTCCACTTGCACTGTCTTTCCAACTTCCACTTTTTCCAGCTTCCCTGCAGATGGGGTCGGAGGATCGCGCCGCATCGCCGATGCATGTGCCATGCTGCTCGATGTGGAGCCCAAGTTTCTCCGCGCCGGCGTCACCGATACTCCGCCGACGTCGCCGATGCACCGTCGATGTATGGGCGATGCATCGGCGATGCATTGGTGATGCGGCGCGATCATCGGAACCCATTCGGATCCCATCCAGGAGGCCTATTGGGAGGGTACCCTGATGTTCTTCGTGTTTGTTTGATGTCCTTGTGCATCCTGGGGAGGGTGCCCTTGGATTTCGGACGGGCGTGTCCCTCTACAGCAGGAAGATACAGAAATAGTCAAACATAGTCTGGGGATGTCTTCTAGTATTTTTGAGAATATTTTGAACAATTGTTTGACTCTGTTTGTATTGTTCTTCCAAGATCTGCCTGCAGGGGGCGTAGTGGGCCCTGGAAACGACAGGGCCGTTTTTTTACCGATTCCGTTTTGCATTTTTTTTTTGCCGGTTCCGACGCCGTTTGTTTACCGGTTCTGTCGCCGTTTTTTGACCGGTTCCGGCTCCGGTTCCAACCCTGGAGCCGTTTTGTTGCCGTTTCCGGTCGCCGTTTTTTTGTCGTTTCCATTTTCAAGGGACATGTTTTTGGAAACGGTAAAAAACGGCCCTGCCGTTTCCGGGGCCCATTGAGCGCCCGACCTTAAGGTTAGTTTTGGATGTTTTGTGAGTGCTGTGGCCAGCGGAGGGTCTCAGGTCCCACGTTCTGGGAGGAGGCGCTTCTATCCCGGGTCCCGCCGTGGGCGTCTCTCGGATGCCTCTCTTCGGGGGTGGACAGAACCCCCAACAGTGACACGTCGATTAGTGAATTGTCCGTTTTCGGTTCTCGAGAGTGCGCCGTGGCCGTTTTTTTCCAGGCCTGCGCCCGCCAGGTTTTGGGCTTCAGGTCGTTTTCACTAAACCACGTTTTACTAAAGGGAGGTCTGTCCATCCCCGATCTCTCTGTGTTGTGGGACCCCCCCGGGGGGCCCAAGTTCGTGCCGGGGCCCCAGAATTCCAACATAGTGAAAAAATCAAGGCGGAGGTTGTCCTCAGATTTTGGCCCCTTAGGGCCCTCGCTTAACCCCGGGCACCTTCAAAAAACGATTCGGGATGAAACATCGGTCCTGGGGCATGGGTCGAGACTTCCGGGGACCCCGCATGGAAAAAATCACGACGTCGGATCTCTGGGGCGGGAGGCAGATGTTGGCCTCTGGCTACAGTCGTTCGCTTGCCGCCGAGGCGCCGGGGGAGAACGCGTTGAGAACTGCGCTGGGAGAACTGGAGGAGGAGGAAGAGGAGGAAAACTGATTGTGTTGGGATTGTCATGTCGTGGTGCAGGGTCACGATATGCGACGCATACACACTTTTACCACCCCCTGCTATCTTCCCCTCCTCCCCCGCCTCCTTCTCGCAGGTCTACAGGTTGACACCAACACCCAGATTGGCGGTGTGCCTCCCGAGGGAAGACGATCCCGATCTCGGTGATAGTGGTAATACTTTGGCTTCCAAGGTGACCGAAAGATAACCACCGACGCCGGATCCTCTTCCCCATGTGGAGGCAAACCCTTTGTGCTGGTGCTGTTGCCAACTTCCAGGCCTCCAACCCTCCTCCTCCTCCCCTGGTCGTCCTCCCTCCTCCCCGCTGCTCCTCGCGCCTGCCCGCCGTTCCTCCTGCCCGATGTCCGGGCGCAGCACGTCAAGTCGGTGTTCAACCCGGACCAGGGCGACGCCGACTCGGACGAGCTGAAGCAGAGGCTCCCAGGACTCCGCAACTGTGACCCCGTGGATCGAGGATCGGGCCGGGCGAAAGGGGGGGATTGGGAAAGGGGGGGTTACGAAATTTGCTGCATGCTGCTGGTTTCGGCCTCACCAAGGGGCCCATTCCTCGATGCATCGCCGCCTCCGGCGCTGGGAGGCGCCGGAAAAGTCAGCTACGTGAGCTGATTCTCAAACCCCCCCTTTGCTATCCCCCCATTTCACCCGACCCGAGAGGACGGCGGAGGAGGAAGGGGGGAGTATCAAGCAGTGGCGAAGCGTCCTGGCGTGCCCACAGGCTGACCATGCAATGTTTTGAGAACCGTTCCTGTGGTGTCTGAGGAATGTCCGTAGAGCAGTTCTGGCTGGGATTGTCTTGTTTTAACACATCGGGCTTATGTTCGAGGAACACGGTTCTTAGCTTAGAACAGCTTTGGGTTCTAAGGACATTTCGTGGTAGGCCAATAGGAATGTTGGGACGGTCGGCCCCGGCTCAAAACGGCGACCCCATGGATCGGGGACGGCGGAGGAGGGAGGGGGGAGCGGGCAGGCGGGAGGAGGAGGGGGGAGTTGGGATGCAGGAGAGAGGGGGGGGATGTCACCGCCCACCAGACCACCCAAACCCAACCCGAAGGCCCCGAGTTGCCCTCTTTTCCAGTGAGGGGGGGGGTCGAGGAAGATTGGAAAAACACATGTGAAGCTCGTGCCCCCCCCACCCGAAATACGGCTCTTCGGGTTGGGTCGGGGTGGTCTGGCAGGCAGTCAGGATGAGATGGAGGAGGGAGGGTGGGCGGGTGGATGTATTAGAGGGAGGCCGTAAGGAGGAAGTGGCGGAGAAGGAGGAGGAGAGAGTGTGTTTGTTCGTGGTCTGCCAGCGCGTTGCTTCTGTCGTGAGGCGTGTCTTCCGCGATGCAAACCTACAGTCGGGCGTCGTTGGATTGCCCCCCTGGTACAGGGGCGATGTCGGCGAAGCTCCCCCGTCTCCTCCCTCCTCCCCCCCTCCCCTCCACATCTCCCTCTCCCCTTCCTTCCTCCCTTCCCCCTCCTCCCTCCCCTCAACCTCTCCTTCTTTGGTGGTCATGGGCGGTCAGGGTGTTGCACAACGATGTTGTCTTCGCAGCGGTTTCAACACACATTGCTAATCTCGCTCAAAAGCGCGGCACGTCATTATGACGGTCTCCAGGCATGGCTTTTTGTTGTAGTGCATTGACTTGTTCATTGAGGAGGGGGTCTGGGTTAGGCAGGTGTTAGGAGGTGTCCGCCATTGTGCTGCTGAGCTGGTTTGATGTGGGGGGACGTCAATAGAAACGGAACGTAGCCCCGACGGCCACACTGGCGGCTTGCGACCGCGGATAGCGCCAGACGCCAAGGGAAGCCACCAGGTATGTTTCTTTCTGCGCCGTTGGCAGCGTTTACAGCAGAAGCCATGACATTAGATGGATCCTTGTCGTACTTGCATTGTCTATCTTGTTTCCAAGCCTCACAGCCATACGTGCAGCAAGAAGGACTGATGTCAGACTTTGCACCCCTGTCTGTGATCAGACCATTTAACTGAGAAGGTTAGACCAGCGCTGCGCGCTCCAGGGTTGCGAACGAAGGAGGCTGTCCCGCGAATGTGGCCGAAGTTCGCTCTACTTTTTGTATATGCTCGAACGAGTGTAATGTTCACAGGCTTACCCAGACGAGCAAACAGTTGACCACGCGGGTGGGACGAGAGTTGTGTTGGCCAGTTTCGCTTGAGCAGTCGGTGCGAATGTTACCGTCTCAATGTAGGATTCGCACGGTGAGCCACTCATGCGAAGAAGGGCGGATGCGGAGGGCATTGCGGGCATCTTCCATGCTCAGCGTGTTCAATGTTGTTTGTCACCGTTGTTCGTACCGCCTGGAGCTGCATCGTGTGTTGCTAAGACGGGGGTGATCATTAGGGGGGAGTGGATATCATCATCAGGGCTATGATATCTCCCTGGATCTCACGGTCCCTTCGTCTCATCCGAAATATGCGTTTTGGCCACCTTGGGCCGCGCACCTACCTCGGGCCATGATTCACGAACCCCCTTCTTGGACCTGGCTATGGCCACTGCAAAGCAGGTGCTCACCCTCCAAGCTGCACAGCGGCGTGTTCCGATTCCCCTTGTTCAGCGGCGTGCCCAGGGGGGAAGTGAGCGGGGGCAGGCCGTCTCTGAAGGCGGCGGGGCCTCTGGGAAGCCCTCTCACCTTCGAGAAGCCGTCCGCGGCCTCGGAGCAGTCTTAGAGAGCTGGGCCTTTGAGATGGCCCGCCCCCCGTGCCTTCACCCCCGGGCTCGCCGCCGACTCTGTGAGATCATGCCGCGATCGTCTGTCGGAGCGGAGCTGGAGATCTCGTGTCTCTCAGCTGGTCAGCTGGAGCGCCTTTTTTTCCTTGGGGCATGACGGGCGTCGTGGCCCCCGCTGCTGCCCCCCCCCCATTGACGTGACTCTCCCCCCCCCAGTGCGCTCCGGGCACTGCCGCCGTGCGCATCGGGATCCGCACAGGTGTCCGCATAGGAATCCGCATGGGAGGCTGGCCCGCAGTCGTCGTCGTCGACGTCGTCGTCCTCGTCCTCGTCCTCGTCCTCCTCGTCGTCGTCGTCGTCATCGCTCCGCTGCTGCCGCGGAGCTCTGAGCTCCCAGGTTCGCCCCGTCCACCGGCGTGATGGGCCGCCCCGCCGGAGAATCGGCGCGGAGCAGCTGGGGGTCGGCTGGCGGGCGAGGAATGATCAGATAGCGTGATCGCAGGCCCAGAGGTTGACACCAACACCAATTCCGTCGGCGTGCCTCCAACGAGGGAGGAAGATCCCGATCTCGGTGGTGGTGGTAATATTCTGGCTTCCAGGGTGGCCGAACTATTACCACCAACACCGAAATCTAGGATCATCTTCCCCCTGTGGAGGCAACCTCCTGTGTTGGTGTTGGTGCCAATTTCCAGGCCTCCAACGTGACGCAGACGCGGGCAGGTTCAGTCTCGCTTCAACGGCCAACATCCCCATGCCCATCCCCTTCGAGGCCCCCACCAGATTACCATCCCGGTTGGGGATGCACCCCTCGAAACCCGAAGGGACCGGCCCATATCCCCATCTGGGGGGGTAAATCGCCAGCGGGGCTCAGGCGACTCCGCTGGGGATAGGGGTCGGATAAACGATGCTCACAGGTGTGGGGGGGGAAGGGAAGACGGGATGACGGCGCTAGGAAGGAGCGGGGATATCAGGAGGGGAAAACACAGACAAACTCAATCGTCGATCCCCAGGAAGATGCATGAAAGTATGGGAAGTGGGGGGAGGACGAACATCCAGGCAACGTGAACAGAGCATGGGAGCCCTGGGGCCCTTCAGGACAGCAGGGGGAGGTGGGAGGGAGGAGAGGGGAAAGGACTGGCTTCGGGGGAGAGGCCGCGGGTCCCTGCGTCCTGCTTCCTGCTGGGCTGCCGTGCTCCTGAAGCTGTGGCGCAGGCAGGGGCCCCTGGGCCTCCGGAATTCCCCAGACCCCCTCGAGTCATGAAAAAATCATGACGGTGGGTGTTTCCCCATTTTCGGCCTCGGGGGGCCCTTGCCGGACCTCGGGACCGTCAAACAACGATGCAGCATGAAAAGCTGGTCCCTGGGAATGGGTCGAGACCCCTGGGGGTCGACGTCATGAAACAATCATGACGTCGGGGGTCCGGGATTCAGACGCTCGCAAACATGGATCAAGGGGGCGTGGATTCGCGACGGGTCCCGTCTCCCTGGGAGCTCGCAGATTTCCGCCGCCGAGCGAGGCGGCACTGGCCGCCCGTTTTGGGGAGGGCACCTCCCCCGATCCATGGATCTGGCGACGGCGCGCCGATCCATGTCTGCGCGCCCCCGATTTCCTGAAGCTGTGGCGCAGGCATGCTGTTGGCCCTCACCATGTGCGGCGAAGTCAGAACGTACGGCATGGCCGCGTCGAAGGCAGAGCTGGACGACACCCTGCCCTACCACTACTGGGACGAGGACGCCAAAGGCAGTCTGCGTCGCGCGTCGAATGAGGTTCGAGTGAGGGATGGAGGGCAGGGATAGGATGAGGATGACGAGGACGACCAGCAGCAGGAGAGGCCCAGGGCGTGCGGGAGGAGGGCCTGACTCCGGGGGGGGGAGGAGGAGCATCATATGGGAAAGCAGCCCGTCGCCCTCGATGGGTGACCCCAGATTCCCAAGAGTCCGAGGCTACGGCGAAGCTTTACAGGGGCTCCCACTTCGAGCAGGGGGGGGGAAGATCACGATGAGGGGGAAGTGGGATGCGCGAGAGGAAGTGGGCGGAGGAGGAGGAGGAGGAAGAGAAGCACGAGGAGAAGGAGGGGATGGAGAAGCAGGTTGAGTCAGAGAAGCAGGAGGAGCAAGATATGCAGGAGGAGGAAGAAAAGCAGGAGGAGGAGGAGGAGGAGGAGGAAGGGAAGCAGGAGGAGGAGGAGGAGGAGGAGGAGGAGGAGGAGGAGGAGGAGAAGCAGGAGGAGGAGGAGAGAAACAACAAGACAGACCAACTTCATTAGAGGCTGGCGCTGCGAGCCTTGCTTCAGCGCCAACCGCGGGGAGGCCGTCGGCAGCGCCCATTTCGTGCTCGGGCGTGCGGGCGGAGCTGGCGCGGCGCCCGAGGCGCTCGGCTCGAGCACGGCGCCTGGAAAGTCTCGGGCTTGATGGGCCTGTCTTCTACCACCACCTTCACCTCCAGAAGTTGGAGGAGGAGAGGGTCCTTCGCCTGATCCTCCTCCGCCGCCTCCTCCTCCTCCTCCTCCCGCTCATCTTCGTCCTCCTCCTCCTTCCCCCCTCCACCTTCTGGTGGTGGCGGTGGAAAACAGGCCCATCAGGGATGTTCTCAGAGTGGACCTGAAGAACGCGTAAATATGTCCGTGATCCTCAGGGCGTGTGTTGGCCCAAAATGTGGAATGGCTCCTTTCAGATCCACCGATCGCACGCAGCCTGCGTTGGCTATCCTTGCACCGCCTGCGTCGTGTCGCAGGGCTTCGGTGGACAAGCACATGCTGGCGCCAGCCCACGCTCCGAGGACGGTCGAATGAAGCACCCTGCGCCGCAGGGACGCCCGGGGGGCAGTGCGCACCCGTACCCGTACGCCTCAACCAGCCTCCTTGGCATGCCGTATGATCCCAGGCCACCACCCGAGATGCCGTCGACACTGCTGTCGGCGATGGGAGGAGGAGGAGGAGGAGGAGGAGGAGGAGGAGGAAGGATGCCCATGCCCATCCCTCGGCGTGCGTGGCCCTGGCGGGCGTGCTCGAGAGCGCCCAGAGGCAGAGCTCCACCGGCGAGGCCTTTGGGCACGATGCTTGCCGCCTGGGTACGCGAACGGCATCTGCATCGCTTTCGGCAGCCTAGGATTTGCGAACGGCATCTGCATCTGCATCGCGAACGGCATCTGCATCGCTGCATCTGCATCGCGAACGGCAGCTGCATCTGCGTCGGGCATGTCGCCATACAAATAGTCAGGGGACGATGTTTCGACTGGTTTGACTGTTGTTGCCTATTGTTTGAGTACTTGTTTCACTTTTCTTCCGATTTCCGCATGTAGGCGGACCTGCCCGACCTGAGCCTCGCACGACGTCCTGGCCCACGAGATCGCCTGGGCCAGCTCTGATGCGCAAATGTTCCACCACCGCTACCACATGTAGGTCGGGGGAGAAGGGAGGACGAGGAGGTGTCCTGCTTCTCCTCGTCCCCCTCCTCCCCCTCCTCCTCTTTCTCCTGCCCCTCCCCCTCCTCCTGCTCCTCCTCCTTTCTCTTCTGCATGTGGCAGTGGTGATGGGAAATGGCTCCAGCGAGCTCGAGCTACACCGCGCGCCGGAGGCGGCGAGGCCGCGCGCGGCCTGCGACGCCCGAGAGGCCCGGCCTCGGCGCTCCAGCGCAGTCCGGGCACCGCGCAGTGCTAAAACAGGGCCAGGATCGGGATAAATCGCTCCAGAGCGTTCCGGAGCGCTCTCAGAGCGTTCCGGAACGCTCTGGAGCGGCCGCGGCGCCCAACACATCCTCCAAACCCGCCGATTCTCAGAGATTTCGAGTCATCCCGATCCGATTTTGTCCCGATCTTCGCGTCGTTTTCAGTGCAGCAGAAGCCCATGCCGAGGAGCACCCTTCTTGGATGGGCCTACCATTCTGTCGGGCGTGTCCCCCTGCAGGGGGATTGGATTTTCGACGAACAAAAAAAAATACCCCAAAAAGGTCAACAAATGTTCAAAAAGTAGTCCCCAGACTATGTTTGGACCATGCTGTAAATATTTTAGGGTATTTTTTAGCATTCGTAGCAAATCCCCCTGTAGGGGGACAGGCCCGACTTAAGCCTACCACCAGAAGTTGGAGGGGAGGGGCTCCTGCTGCTCCTCCTCCTCCTACTCCTCCTCCTCCTCCTCCTCCTCCTCCTCCTCCTCCCCCTCCTCCTCCTCCTCCTCCTCTTCCTCCTCCTCCTCCTCCTCCTCCTCCTCCTCCTCCTCCTCCTCCTACTCCTCCTCCTACTCGTCCTCCTCCGCGTCCTCCACCTCTTTCCCCCCATCAAGCTTCTCGTGGTTCTGGTGGAAAAGAGGCCCATCATTCTTGCCTCCAGGGTGCCCTGGGTTTTTTGGGATTCAATGGTCTCGCGATGGAAAGCGTGACGCTCCCACGCCAAGAATCGACGGTCGCCTTGGGTTGGGTTTCTTGTGGGTCGGGTTGGGTTTGGCGGATTGGGTTTCTTGTGCAAGGTTTCTTGTGAACGGGCCCCTACCACGGTGCTTGATGTGCATTTGCTGCGATGCTGGGTCGCACCGCGTACCACAATGGCCCCTTGTCGGCGTGACAAGCTGATAGTTCCGCCAGCCCGTTGCACTCCAGACTTGCGTCGGGCATGTCCCTCTACAGGAGGAATATTCAGAAATAGTCAAAAGTCAGAGGATGATGTTCTACTATCTTTGACTCTGCTTCCTCCAAAAGCCGCCTGTAGGAGGACACGCTCGACCTAACAGTGGTGCTTGATAAGCATGTGCTGCGGTGCTCAGGCGCACCGCGTATCACAACGATCCCTTGTCAGGCGTGACGAGCTGTTAGTTCCGCCAGCCCGTTGCACTCCAGTCTCGAAGCTCGTTGATTCCAGGCGTCGTGGAGCCCCCTCCGTATCAGGTGAGACGCGGGAATTTTTCATGACGTGCTGCGTCCGATGAAGAGACAAACAGGAACTGTGTATCCCAACCTCCATCAAGGAAGGAAACAACATCCCGACCCGTATACGTGGCGTTCACTCGACGGCCCTGGGCGTTGACTGAACGGCTCTACCTTGTTCGATTCGTTCCTGGAGTGGGATGCGTTTACTAGACGGCTTCGCTTGCTGGGGTGCTTCTCATGAGGGTAGATTGTCTGCTCCCTTGTTTGGTGAAACCAAAAGGGACCGGTACCGCTACTCCCCGGACCTCTCCCGGGTGCGTTCTCTCCAGAATTTCGAGGCGAATCCAGCTGTGGCGACGAGGGCGCCGGAGGAGGTTCCCCAAATGGCGAGAGCAAGGCAAGGGTAGCGGCTTCGGTACCTTTTCCTCCTCTGCTTGACCAGGATGGCGGCGTGGCGGCGGGACTTGGCGATGGTGAGGACAGCATGTGCAGGGAGGAGGAGGAGGAGGAGGAGGAGGAGGAGGAGGAGGAGGAGGGGGAGCAGGAGGAGGAGGAGGAGGAGGGGGAGGAGGAGGAGGGGGAGGAGGAGGAGGAGGAGGAGGAGGAGGGGGAGGAGGAGGAGGGCGGCCGCGGCGTCCAGCGGCGCGCGCGGGCGCCTGCTCTGTGGCCGCATCGCGGCCACGACCTTCCAGTACAGTGGAAGCCCGTGCCAATCGGGGGTGGACAGAACCCCCACCCTGACATGTCGATTAGTGAATTGTCCGTTTTCGGTTCTCGAGAGGGCGCCGTGGCCGTTATTTTCCAGGCTTGCGCCCGCCAGGTTTGGGCCTCCGGTCGTTTTCATTAAACCACGTTTTACTAAAGGGGGTCTGTCCATCCCCGAGCCAAGAGAAACGCTGCTTGCCTGCAGGGCGCCCTGGGTTTGTTTGGTTTCGATGGTTCTGCTGTGGAAAGCGCGACGTTCCACTCCAAAAGTCAATGGACGTCCTGGGGTCTCAGGGTTGTGGAAGGTTTCTTGTGGACTGGCCTCCACTGTACTTCATGGCCTGGCTCACTATGGCAAAGAGAGCTGTGCAGGAGGGCGTACAGTGGAGGCGCGCATCAAGAAGCCAATGCTTTTTGCCAGGGTGCCTGGACTTCTTCGATCCGCGCGCGGCGCGGTGACTTCCCGCGGCCGTGAAGAAGCTGCGGCGTTCAGGGTGCTCTGGGTTTCCCTCAGGTGTACCTCGCGTGCGGGTTTTCGGGGTTGGGTGTCTTGCGACCGCGCCCGCACTGTATGCACGAGAGTCTCTTCGATTCTCTGGACCATCGCGTGCGTTGTGCCCCCTTCCCTCCCCCCCTTTCACCCCCCCCCATAGCGTAATGCCCCCCCCCCCTCGGTGCGTCCCCGGCACTGCTTCAGTGCGTCCGGCACCGCCGTCTTGGGGGAGGGCGCTACGCTTAAAACAGGGCTAGGATCGGGATAAATCGCTCCAGAGCGTTCCTGAGCGCTCTCACAGCGTTCCGGAACGCTCTGGAGCGGCCGCGGCGCCCAGTACATCCTCCAAACCCGCCGATTCTTAGAGATTTCGAGTCATCCCGATCCGATTTTGTCCCGATCTTCGCGTCGTTTTAACGTTGTGCCCTATCCCGCCTCCTCCCCCCCTCCATCCCCCCCCCCGCATGACGCCCGCTGTGGCCGCGAATGAAAACAAATGCGCTCCAGGAGGGCGTTTGGCACCGATCCTGTGCCCCGGAGAGTGGCCTGGCGAGAATCGGTGGATGTGCACAGCTCTCTTTCCACCCAGCCCGGGCCGCAGTCACCTGGCATCGCTCGGACGTGTGCGTTTTTTCCTCGGCGAGGACCATCGAAGAGCATCCTTGATCATTTGGCGAAAAAACACGCACGAAACCGCAAAAACACAGGAAATGGACTTCCGAGCGATGGCCAGGTCACGCCTCTGGAGCGATCAAGCCTTTGGCGACCGCGACCGCGCTGTCGCCGTCGCCTGAGTCGACACGTTGGGCGCTCCCCCCCCTGACTCCAGAGGATCTGCGACGGGGCAGCTGGGTGGGGGGGGCATCAGCAGGGTGACC